ATGCTTAAATTACATTTTTATTTCCCATTTATTATTATTATTATTGTTATGCACAGCCTTTCGGAAAAAAACACAAACATGGTTAAAAAGTTTCCGCAATTTAATATTAAAAATATACTTTTCGGAGCCTACGTTAAGGGAGTGAGACTTACATCCAAACATCGGAGTGGAGAGGGAATCAATTTACTCTTCATGTCTTCCGCATTTACTAGTAGCATACCAATGCTCCGCCGTTCACGAATCGCTTCAGCTTGAGAATGCTGCATATGATAACGCTCCAATGCCTCGGCAAAAAACTCAACATCTGCCGAACATCAATGAATATTATAATCACATATAAGGCCATCAAATACATGATTCTATTTGTTACAACAACAACAACTATTAAATAAAACAATTATTTTAACATACTGGTTGTTTCACAGCATCAAACGTAAGAGCATTAAGATTAACTACAAAAGATATCAAAGTTTGTTTACCGTGCTCATCCTGCTGAATTTCGTTCAAGTCGAGGCCTTCATTTTCTCGGTAAAACTCTCGGAACGGCTCAAATGTATCTGCATACAACTTGACAGCTTCAAAGGCTTTCATGATGCAATCCTGAAAAAAAAAACACAATTGGAATGTGCTAAAATCTATACATATATCAATGTGTAAAATAAGTGAATATTTTCATAATTACCATACCATTCAACCTAAAATGCAAATGAATACATAACCACTGATTAAAAAAATTCATAAAAAATTATGAATAATAATTGAAAACAATGCAAGTGAATTCTTTTTGAGACCTAATACTCAAAGTGCTTACCCTGATACTTTGAATAACCCCCTGTAAATGCTTATCATCTTCAAACATGGCCATCAGGCTTGGGCCTTCCCCTGCAGTCTTCTCCTCCAATTTACCATTAATAATAGGCCTACAGAAAGAAAACAACATTGAATGAAACCCTCCCAATAATTAGGCCTAAAAAAATCAATTGTTTTTCTGCTTTTTAATGCTGAAAATTGTATAGGAGGGGCAGGTGCAAAAAAGTTTTTTTTTATTTTTTAGTTTTTTTTTCTCCTGTCATCAAAATTAACATATTAAATCGCAATGCTTTTAAACTTGTCTCACTATTTGTTTTTCAAAGGGTATTCATCAGACTAAATAAAAATAACCCATAATCAATATACAGTGATTTGCCCATACAGGTAAGATATAACATCATTATGCCCATATATGTAAACCACAGAAATCTCTGACAGAAAATTTCATAGTGAGTACAGAGCATGTGGGAGTGTTGTAAATAAGGTCCTGACACGAGCAGCGTTTGAACACAGGAGCCCTGCAATTAAAAAGTGATTGTAGAAGTCTTAGCTAGTACCTTGTGAAGGCATCAAAATACACATCAGGAACCAAGTTAGCCACACTCAG